GGAAGGAATCTACGGAGCTTGCCATCATGGGCCTCACCCGCGGCCACAAGCGCCCCCGGGCAACTACAGAAGTTCAAGATGCACCCCCGCGCTGCCACCTGCGCAGCCACGGCCCGGCGAGCGAAGGAAGAAGAAGGAGATTGCTAGTCTCTACGTATGCGAACTCTTTGTAACAACGAAGATAACGCGAAACACGTTTACATATATATAAAAGCGACGAAGAGACCGGCTGCGTGGGCGCGTGCAGCTGGTGCTTCGTGTCAAGAAGGGTCGGCGGTGTGAGCGCACCCTTCTCTTCAGGCCCCTTGTACATAGGCTCGACCTGGTTGTCCGTCACGTCGCCGGTATCAGTGCGGCTCCAAAGCGCTAAAACTCTTGCCGTGGCCCATCGGCATGGTGCGTCTGTCAAGGTTGGGTCCGGCCATCGTCGAGTCGTCCGTGGCAGCGGTGCGCTCAAGCGTGGCATCGGCCTCCGTCATGAAACCCCGGCCGGCGGCGTCATGACAAGCATCACGATCGACCGGCGTCACGACGTCGGGATCGTTGTTCGGCTGCTGGTCCTGCGGAGCAGCGGCAGCGGCATCGTCGCGCGGTAGCGACGAAGCAAAATCGGCGGCATCAGCGCGGTTTGACGGCGACCAAGACGCAGACGTAGTGGGCGGCATTGTCGAGTTGAACAGTATACTCGCATGCTTGCGAGCGACTCGTCTCGTCAGGCGTATCAAAATTGTGTGCTGCCAACGAATGCTTCAACATACTCTCAAGGGTCTGTAAATGGTTTACAGACTCTGGGACAAACAAGCTCAAACAATAGCGTCGATAAGAATTATGGGATATGTATTCATGACGGTATAGCCTTACTAGTACGACAGAGTGGTGGTAAGAACGAGAGATACACCGAGGCCCGACGTCGTAGTCATAAACGAGAGTGCTCACTCCTTCGACTCCTCTTCGTCGTAGCGGTGCCGGTAGGCCGCGAGCTCGGACGTAAGGCCGTCGTTCACCGCAAGATAATGAGCGCGCTCATCCTCGAACTCCTGCACAAGAGCTTCCATCGCCGTGCGGCGCGCGTCTTCCATGGCTTCCATCGCCGTGCGGCGCGCGTCCTCAATGGCTTCGAACGCCGCCCGAAAGTTGTTTGTGCGCTGGCGCTTCGGGGGAGGTGGCGCGCCGTCGTCCTCGGCCACGTCACCCGCGTCACCAGCAGCGCCCACGTCACCCACGTCACCCGCGAAATCGCCGGCATCAGCGTCACCCGCGTCATCGCCGGCATCAGCGGCACCCGCGTCGGCAGCGGCGGCACGAGCGTCGAGCTCTTCGCGTTGCTCGCGGGTCAGCAGCAGGTGTGGCGTGGTCTCGTCGAAGGGCAAGTAGGCCGCAAAGAGAGTGCTGTTGTGACCTTTCGACACCGCCTTGGGGAAAAAGTTGGGAAACTCCAGGTGCGCGCCGAACGTCGCCATCGCCCTTTGCACCAAGAAAGGCTTGATCTCGAGCTTCTTGGCCACCATGAACTTGGCAATGTCGTAGATGAGCACCGAGTCAAGCCAAAGAACGCCCTTCGGGAGCTGGCCGACTGGAGCAGCCACGCGGTTGGTCAGCAGCACGACTTTGCGCAATAGTGGTTGGCTCTCGAAGATCGCCTCGTTGACCGCAAACTTGGTCTCTTTGATCGCCACTTCTTTCATGAGGAAGACGGCGACGCGGTCGTACTCTTGGGCGTCCGGCCCGTCGGCGGCGTCCGTCTCGGGCTGCTTGTATTTTACATTGCAAAACCCGGTCTTCGGGTCGCGGTCGATGCTCGCCGTCATGTCGACGTGCTGCAGCGCGACGAGCTGCGCCCAGCGGGCCTTCGTTTCGGCCGGCAGCTCGTCGTCGGTGGAGGTCGCGACCTCGTACTGCAAGACGTTCCACATGAGGAGCATCTGACAAAACACGAGAAACTTGAGCGCGTCGGACATCGGGCTCGTGATCGACGGCGAGGCGTAGGCATCGTCCATCGCCTTGCGGATACGCTCAAACTTGAGCACGGGCGGCGGCGGCGGCGTCCCGGGCTCCTGTTTTTGTACGTATGAAAACACTTGAGGATATCCATGGCAAATTGACGAGTGAGCTCACAGCGAGCAACCCGATCGCTGGTTCAAGAAAGCAACCGACGCGTGCACGAACACGATCAATAGAAATACGTGGTTTCATCTTGATGTGTTAATGCGCATTTTATTCGTCTGCTGTGGAAAGTGGAGGGCGATCGCGCTACGAATGAGGCAGCTGCACACGAAGCGCGATCAGAACCGATCCAAGCTCGCATTACTACCTTGGGTGCGCATCGTGGTGGTGCAAGCGTTGCAGGCTAATTCACGGCTGTCGATGCCGGCGCGTCTCGAAGCGGTCGACGCGTCGACAGAGGATTGAGCCACCCGAGGTTCGATTCTCCGCCTTTAGGTCTGGGAGGGTTAACTGTTCGCATGATCAAGTAATTTCTACATCGGTGTCGGTGCTGTAGAAATCATCGGTTCGAGCGCTGCATGGGAGCTCTGCGCCGGCATGCGTGCAAAAGTATCTTGCACCATTACCGTCCATGAGCGGTGCACTGTACTACTGCACTGGGTATGTTGCACCCGCGTGCAGGATGAGGACCTTCGTTTGTTTTCAATGCCGCAGTGAATAGTTGCTCCTCCAGCATCTAGCAACGGAGAACGGGCGAATGCTTCAGCTCGAAGGAATGAAGAAATTGCCTTCAGCTGATCGAGTGGCATGACGTGGCGGTCTGCAGCGCCAAGATGGACCAGACAGTCTTGCCATATGGTGTTGCTTTGCAAGACGGTCGCGCTCCTACAGTACCAAGGATTCGACAACCCTGTCGCAACGCCTATGCGGCTGACGAGGCAGCGCATCCCGATCCTGGATCGCACAGAGTGGTATCGAGCCTCGGGTGGCTCAATCCTCTGTCGACGCGTCGACCGCTTCGAGTCGCGCCGGCATCAACAGCTGTGAATCAGCCTGCAACGCTTGCGTGATCACCTGCGTGCTACCTTCGTTTCGCGTTGTACGAACAGCTTCACGAATGCCCAATGCTTGCAGCGTCGGAAATGACAGAACTTCATGAGTGCCGTAGCTCGTAGAGAGTACTGGCCACGGCAGCGCCGAGATCGCATTGGTATCACCGAGCTTTCCCATGCGATTGCACCCACGGCTTATCATGACGCTGCGTAGTACGTGGCTAAATCCAACGACAACATGGTCGACGCGCCAAGTCGATCCCAAACTGGACTATCGACAAGCTCGCAACAAGACACGTGTTCCGCTGATATCGTAATGCAAGAAAGACATGGCCAGGGCCAACGCGACTCGGCGCCTCGTGGAGGTGGTCAGCCAGCGCAACTCCCAGCCTGCCAGTAATTCTGTCGCGGTCGTGCTGCAGAATCCAACAGAATAGTAGTATTTGGAAGCAGACAACTTGTCGAAAGACTTACTTAGCCATGGGCCTTGATCGTACCCAGCAATGCGTCGCGCTGTTCCATCGTGTTGAAGCCAAAAAAGCGCTTGTCTACAGCCTTAATTTTGAAAGACGAGACTTTCAATCGACGAGCTAGTATACCTTGGTAGGCCTCGCCCGTGTCGCCCAAGACGTAGAAAATGAACCGTGGGTCGTCCGACTTGCGGGCCATGAGGTCTGGAATCTCCTTGATGTCTTCGATACGGTCGACCTAAACTCGAGTTTCACAGTGTGTTGGATGGTTTTGAACCATACGTACGATGAGCTGACCAAACGGTGGGTGCCCCGACTCGGCCTCTTCAACCGACTTCCAAAACACAAACCGGTGGTACCGGTACACGAGGCAGATGGTCTATTAAAGCAATGACGGTGCTCCTCCAAAGGACAGACAAAAGAGATAAAGTACCTTCCACACCCGGTCGTTCTCACCGCGTGTCAAGATCGGACCCATCCATAGGGCATGAAACTTGATCTTCTTACATACTTCCAGCTGCGTCGCTTCGTCTATGGCCCGCTTGGTGGCGTAGATACCGCGCTCCGTCGAGTACGCCTAGAGATAACCATATACATATACACCTCATCCGAAATGGAAATATGCCACAAGTACCTGCATCAAGTCAATGTCGGTCGGCATGGACGAGATAAAGTTCCAGAGAATGTTGCGCGCCGTGTTACTTGGTGGTCGATCCTTGCGCAGGCCCGCGCCAAACTAGACACGGAACACTCGCTCGGAACGCCGCTTGTCGATGTTACCGTACGTACCTCGAGGAGACCGCTGGCCAAGATGAGGTAGCGCGCCGGTACGATCGAAAAGAGAATGGCCCCCGCGACGCAGAGCAGAAAGACCGCAGCGGTCTTCCACGGGTGCGTCCAGTTGAAGAGGTTTTGCGTGCACACAACCGTCGCACAGAGCCGACCGATCGCGTTTTGGACCGTCTTGGTCGTGTCTTTGGCCTTGTAAAACGCGCCAAAGAGAACGGTCCCGAGCGTCGACGACGCCTTGTCCTTCTCGTGCAGCGCCTCGAGGAGAAATTGCGACATTTTGCGCTCGCCAAGCGTGCCAACAACGCTGCTGCACGCACCGTCGGTGGGCTTTGTCACGGGTAGTCGAAGCTGCAGTCGCACCTACAGATCGCATTAGCACACGCACCGACATAACAATCATGTACGGTCAGCGAGCACTCGTCGAGCGGCTCGTTCTCGGGACTGGTCATCGGTAGCGTGATCGTCGTGTCGTCCGCACTCGCCAACGTCGCAATCGGAATGCGGACGCGGCCCACGAGTGTCTCGATCTGCGGCTGGTCCTCCGAGTAGTTGTACACCTCGAACGTCACATCGCCCGGAAACGACGCCCACGGCACGAGCAGCTGGCGACCATTGTCAAACGTCTTGGCGGGCTGGAGGAGGGGGTACACAAGCGTGTGGTGGTCCACCCCCGCCGCATGGGGCCACGACGCATGGACGTTCCGGAAGACGTGCTCCTTCTTGAAGACGCTCTTTTGATTCGTCGGCGTCGTCGACGAAATGTGCGACACGATGTTGGCGACGCTGCGCCAAATTGGACGCGCGCACGTTCGCACAATGTGCGTGCGTCCGACAAAGTAGCTCTCGGCGCCCGACGCCATGAGCCCTGTCGTGTCCTCTTGGTCGGCGTCTTTGGGCTCGTAGACCACCTTGAGGAACGTGTACATGTTTTCCTTGCGTGCTTTCTGGGCTAAAAACGCCGGGCCAAACGTCGCTTCGACGACCGCGACCCAGAGATGTGCGATTGGACGATAAAGACGCGTGCGCTCGATGACGTCCGGGTCGTCATGGGCCACCCACGCCTGCACGTACTGCCCCGTGAGCCGCGCCAAAAGCGTGTGGACCATGTACGCGAGGAGCAGGATGAAGACCATAGCCGGCGCGTACTCGGCGTCGACGCGGAGACAAATGGCGCAAAACCCAAAGAGCACGAGGCCAGACGTGACGGGGTCTTTCCAGCAAATGAGTGCGAGGTACTCTTGTTCGAGCCACTGCAGCGAGTTGATGACGTGATTGAGCCGGTCAATGTTGAGCTTGAGCGTCTCGATCGCAAACTCCTTCTCTTCCCGGCCTTGGAGCAGTACCTTTTGCTTCGGGACGTACAAGAGAAGCTTGGTCTTCTCCTCGACGTAGCGCAGTCGAAGGCGCGCACGGCCCACGACGCGGTCTTTTCCTTGATGCGCTGGAGCAGCGGGTACGTCTCGAGGTCCATGCGCGTAGCGTACAGCTGCACGTGCGGGTCGGGCGGCAGAACCGAGGTGGCGAGCTGCTTAAGGGGCTGGAGCCACGGCGTTGACGCGAGCGCGCGGTCGGCGTCGGCCTGCAGCAGCTCGAAAAGGAGCACCTTCATTTCGCCAATGACGGCGTTCGTGTTGAGGTCGATCGTCTCGAGTCGGAAGAATGCGTCGCGGTTCGTCACCACAATGCACACCTTGTCGTCAAAGACCGGGTCTGCGGTCTTGTAGACCTCGTTGGTTTCGCGCACGAGACCGTCAAAGCTCATGCGGCAGTACGTGTCGCCTTCAAACACATTGACCGCATGCTTGTCGCTTTGGCAGTCTTTTGAGCAGAGGTGGATGCCCTTGAGGTGCACGTAGAGCTTCCCAAAGGTCGGCGCTGTCGTTGTCGATGACGGTTCGAGCATGCGGTACCCCGTCGACGTCGATCGGCGCTTGTGGGCCGGCGACGACGACGCAAACTGACCCCTATATAGGATCATGAGCCCTCGCTGCCGTATCAAAGCGACAGTTTGTACGTGGGGGACGATGCCATGGTCGGGATCCGAGCGTCCTTCTCGTGAAGCGCCGTGCCGCACGGAACGTTGGTGTTGGCACTCATCATGCACGTCTTGTGGACATCAACGTGGCAGTCTTCGCAGCGGTAGCCAGGCGAGCCCTTGACGCTGCTCATAATGACGCGCTCACAGACGACGCACGTAAGGAGTCGGACGCCAACCGACTTGATCGTGTGCACGCGGAACTTGTGGGCGCCCTTCGTGTCGAGCGAGAGCGAGGACGACCGGTGCGTCAGCGACGGCTTGGTCTGCGGCTCAAACACCATGCCAAACGAGATGCGCGCTTTGACGGGTGGCGCGCCGTTGGCTGTCGGCGGTGCGATCGTCGTCGATGTGACAGTAAACCAGCGCGAGAAGTGGACGTTGGGGTGCTGCAAGAGCGGCAGCGTCGAGAGGAGGCAGCTCGCAATGAGGTCGTCGCCCAGGTAGCTCTCGCTCCAGAGCTGGACTTCGAGCGTCGGGACGGGGTTGTTGGAGCTCGTGCAGCGGTGCTGCAGACGCATTTCATTTGCATGGTCTTCGCGCCACGTCGGGTTCTTGCCGCCGCTCAAAGCGGCTTTTGTCTGCACCGGCTCGTTCCACCTAGCAAGATGCATGATGCAGAATAATGAGATAATCTTCAAGCATAGCGTCCACGTACGGAAGCAAGGCGAGACGAACATACGGGTCCTGGCGGCCGAGCCAGCGCACGCTCGGGAGGTCGACCGCTTTCTCGGCCGTGATCTTGAACACGCCCGACTGGTTGAGCTCCATGTCCTTCCGGAACGCGAGGTAATCGTCGCGCGTCTGGATCATCGGGTGGTTCGAGATGAAGCGCGCTGCAAAGAGGAGACAGCTTTGATCGCAGACAATCCCGCTGGGATGGAACCGGAAGAGCGACGACGAGCTCTCATCTACAGGCGCGCGGGAGGAGGATGCGACGACGTCCAGGACCATGGTACCTGTCCAGAGGCCGTTGCACATATCGCAGCGCTCGTTGCTCGTGGCGAGGAGTGGCGTGATCTCGTTGCGCTCGAGCATCTCTGCGATCTCGTTGTTGCGCGACTGCAGCTGCTCGGCCTCCTGGAGGGGCGTCGGCGCCTCCGAGCCCGACCGGCTCCGGGGCGCGCTGTCTCGCCGGGCCCGCGGGGTCATCTCGCCTACATGACGCAGGCGCAACATAAGATTCCATCGTCCATGCCATCGCCATGGCATGCGTACCCGACTCGTCCGCGACGAACGCGCTCGCGACGCGCCGCCGAATCTCCATCGTCGGCAAGATCCCGGAATGACGGAAAATCTACGCCGACGTATTATTTGTGTCATATTTACGCCGACTCATATTAGACTCGACAATTGTATGGCTTCCTCGATTTGTGCTGTTGACGTCAGCCCATCACCACTGGGAAACCCAGCGTCATCGCTCGCGATGCCAGCGTTAGTGCTATTATACATATACTACTACTACGTAGTACTAGTAATATGGAGCATAGCATACACACGTTGGCCACCAGATATGGGCGCAAAGTCGGAACTTGGATTGTACTTGCGGTCAAGGGAACGTCTTTATTGCACCACGACAGCGACTCGCTCCTATGCCGGTAGCGGCATTGCTCGCCGTCAAGTGACTTCCGACTGCGCGCAGCAACGACTAGCTCAGGCGTGAAGCCTGTCCATGCACGTCTCGTGTCGGTTCAGCTCGAGACGTACTAGCTTGTCAGCATTATGGCTACTCGTTCGGTCTGTGTTGAGCTGTTGCAATGGTCGTGCATGCTGTCGTTGTATTCACTGTTAGCGACGTACTAGTACACCGCAGCGTCATGATAAGCCGTGGGTGCAATCGCATCGGGAAGCTCGGTGATACCAATGCGATCTCGGCGCTGCCCTGGCCAGTACTCTCTACGAGCTACGGCGTTCATGAAGCTCTGTCATTTCCGACGCTGCAAGCGACTTACTGTTGTGCAAGCCAACAGCTCCGACCATGTTGGCGTCGACGGCGGATCGCAATGCAAACCAGGTGTACGTACGACGTACGTCATGTACGGTCATACAGTACATTGGGAGTTCGTGACTCTGTCGACTCCACCGCTTCGAGACGCGCAGGCTGCAACGCTTGCACCACCACGATGCGCACCGAGAGTAATAGTAATGCGAGCTTGGATCGGTTCTGATCGCGCTTTGTGCGCAGCTGCCACATCCGTGGCGCCATTGTCTTCCGCACTTTCGACAGCAGACGAATAAAATGCATACACACATCAAGATAAAACACATATTTTTATTGTTCGTGTCCGTGCACGCGCCAGGTGCTTTCTTGAACCAGCGATCGGGTTGCCCGCTGTGAGCTCACTCGCCAATTTGCCACGAACATCCTCGACGGCTCTCACGCGTACAAGAAGCGGGAGTCGCCCGGGACGCCGCCGCCGCCGCCCGCGCTCAAGTTTGAGCGTATCAGCAAGGCCGTAAACGACGCCTACGGCTCGCCGTCCTACACCAACCCGATGTCGGACGCTCGGAAGATTTTGGTCTTGTGTCAAATGCTCGTGTCGTGGGACCGGTGCAGTACGACGTTGAGACCTGCACCGACAACGAGCTGCCGCCCGCTTCCAAGGCCCGCTGGGTGCAGCTCCTCAAGATCGATCATTGTTGTACTGCAAGACGTTCCACGACACGAGCATCTGGCAGAACACCAAAATCTTCCGTGCGTCCGACATCGGGCTCGTATATGTCGGCGAGCCGTAGGCGTCGTCAATTGCCTTGCTGAGAGGCTGAAGCTTGACGACATCGAGTAATAAAGATAATGCAGAACACGTTCATATATCTATATACTTGTCTTTTTATCGACTATTTGGTTAATCTCTGCAGCATGGCTGTCGCAGCAACAATGACATTCGACAAAAGCTGCTTTCGGCCCATTCGAAACGTGAGCGCCACCAGTAGGCGGTCGGGGAGGTCGTTGGTTTGCAGCAAGGCGGCGTCTTCTTCGAGCGAGGTGGGAAACGCAGCAGCGAGCTCTTCCAGCACCTCAATGAGAACCGTAATGGCCTTGATCTCGACGCGGACGTCCGACAGCAGGCATGAGACATCAACGTCCTCGCAGTACGCCGTCAAGAAATGGCAGCGAAAGTACGGTAGCAGTGACCCAACGGACGTGTCATGCGTCAATCGGAAGCGGTTCTTGAACGGCATGAGGTGCGCCTTGATGAGGACCGCGCGACGCTCCGTCTTGGACAAGGCACTTGGGTACGACGCCTCGAGGTGCAGGTCCATGTCGAGATAGTCCCACTCGTTCTCACGCAGCGCAAAACCGTAGTCGAGCAGCAGTTGGTCTAGTGCAGGCTATAAAATATGTACGAGATTGTCGTTAACCATACGGTTGGGGCGCCGGCCGTAGCTGTTGAAGACTTGGTCGCCGCGCTTGTATCCGATGGACGAGTGCCACTCAAACGTCTTGTCCTCGTACGCGTAGATGGTGGCGTGGTTGGCGTGGTTGAGCATGTCGGCAAAGGGCACAAGCGACGTCCACGGCAGCCGCCGGCCTACGCTATCGCATTTGGAAGAGCTAAAAGACGAATTGCAAATACCAAACGTGCGTGCTTGGATCGTCTGCCACGCAAAACGAAAGGTTTCGAATGGAAAGCTTGTCGCGTTAAAGAGCTCCTGCATAAAGTTGTCAGACAGAGTATCGTAAATGGATGAAGATATACCGGATAGAGGCGGAAGAGGCGGTCGGTGAGGCGCTCGTACCACGTGACGATCTCGGCATTGCGCTGGTTGGCGATCTCCAAGAGGCGCCTACGTAGTGTCGATGGCCCATAAGATATCATGCCTACAATAAGAGAATGTACGGGTCTTGCAAGGATGCGAGCTCGTCGATGGTCCAGTTTTGGATCGACTCGGGCGTGGGCAGCATCGAGAGGTACGGGTAGTAGAACGAGTGCGGGCCGAGGTCCATGTGGTGCGCCACGAACGTCGCCAAGAGCGGATCATCGCGGGCAAAGAGGTCGGAATGTCGGGCAAAGATCGGGCCGAGGTCCGGGTCGAGCTTCACGGACGCCTCCGAGATCATGAGCGCCTCGGGAATCGACATGGCGACTTCATTGGGCGCGAGATCCCGCGTCGCGACGACGCCACGGCCGCCATCAAGGTCGTGCGTGATGGCGAGCGCGTCGATCTTGGCGCCATTTTCTGTGAGCCAGCGCAGGAAGCGGGCTTCGTCCTTGTCGGCCATCCTGCGGTCGATCGCAGGAATTCGATAGGCGATGTGTACGTCCGTCGTACATTATGTACGGGCGTACAGTACATTACTTGTTTTGGGTCCGCTGGACGAACGCTATGCGAAGCGATCAAGGAGCGTGATGCGCTTCGTAGAGCTGCACACGCGATGCTCTATACTGCAGTTCAATATCGCCGCACCCTGCTGGGCGAGCTCAGAGAGCACGGCTTGGCGAGCAAAACCAGATGGACTGTTCGGGCGATGAGAGTGCCACGTCATCGATACAATTGCCCAAGGAATACGAGAAAGAAAATCTGCGCGGCGAGAGCTCTTGCTCGTCGCTTCATCACGACTATGTTCACAGTGTCAATACATCATTGGAAATGGATGGAGGACTCCATCGTGCGCGCGGGTGCAATATGGTGCAACACTCGACCGTGGGGCAAAACAAGATACTCTTGCAGGCATGGTGCAGAGCTCCGCGCTCGAGTTGTTGATACCTGCATCCCGACAGCACCCATACCGATAGCATCCACGTACCTTCAGGTTCGCCTTGCATGCGTTCAAAACGAACGTCGGTTGTCTGACTCAGATACCCGAAGCTCCGACGCATCGAGACCAATGTAACGTGAGGCTCGGTGGTAGCCGCGGCTCGTTGCAAGCGGCTCTGATGCACACCTGTGCGGAGCTTCCGCAGTTGCGAGGCCAACTGACCACAACAGATGATCGCGAGGCCTCCATGACTTACTTGATGAAGGTCCAGTGCAACCGAGATCGCCGGCTTCTCGTCGTCGGCCTGGCGCTTGGCTTCGGCGTCCAAGGTTCTTTTCAATGGCTGCATGGAGATCGTCCTTCATCTTCGATGTCACCATCAGCCCTGCTTGCCACGTGTCGCTTCCATAATGTGTCGCTTCTGACGCTCCAAGAGCGTGATGACGGTCACGGAGACGGAGACGATCAAGGCCATGGACAAAATGCTACAGGAGGAATGCGACTTCCTCATGCATTACCAGTGGTAATGCAAGGGTTTGGAAGCATTTTGGTAAGCTCGAGGAAGTCGCTTCGTCCATCGTCGTGTGCCGCGTGTGCCTCAAGTCGAAGCTACCACTCCGCGATTGTCGCGTCGCACTTCATGCGTCGAACTCATAGAATGCGATCCGCCACATGAAGCTTTCTCGACTTCCTCGAGCGCGTTCAATGCTGTGACCTTCCCGACAACTCGAAGGAGAAGGCTGCTCACAGAAACTGGGTGCATCTCTCGAAGATTTTTGACGTCAACCTCTGGTGGCGCAAAAACGGCTGCCGCCATCGACTCGTCGAGCGCATTGCAGCTCGTGAGCTCGCGTGTCCGGACTCGAACGCCCTCCAGGAGCGCGTCTTCTCGCTCTGCAAGCTGATCGACTCGCCGTTGCGACAAAAACTCGGCAACGCCAAGTTCGAGATGCTTCCTGTGCTGGCATTCAACAAGAAGTTCATCCGCATGTGCTCAGATGACAGCTCCCTCGCCGGAACCCTCGGGTCGACGACGTCCACGTCGCAAGCCACTGCTACGCTCATCAACTTCTTCGACCTCGACGCCAGCAGACTGAGTCGGCTATCGATATTGCTGATACGCTTCGTTCCGCGGCGTTGGCCCCCGCCGAGAACACGCCATCGAAGAAGCGCAAGATTTGTACCACTGAATAGGCATGAGTTAACTCGAAGTAGCTGAGTGCACTCACTATTGTCGTTTGCGAGTTGTGAGTGATTGCGTACTCACTCACAACGGAAATGGGCCCCACTCGCCATCCCTGATTACCACAGTAAACCCGTCATGGCCGCCAACTTTGCGCACCGCGTGTGCAAAGGCTGCCAGGTCGAGAACGGCGCTTCCTTTAAAGCACTGATTGCTCCATGCGGGAGCCCTCGATTTTGATCCGGCTCGGTGGTTTGCGACCGTCCAACCCGCTCGATGGTCTTGCAGCGAGACTGCTCTGTGAGCAGCAAGAGCGCACCGCGATCACGATCGACGACGACGACGAGAATGCCAGCAGCTCCACGCGCACAGGTGAAGCATCGAGGAGGATCAGCTTGCATGGACCGGGTAATGCCAGTCATATAGTACATGTACATACATGCAGCATCCGTTGATGCGACGCCGTGCACGAAGGCACATGGGAATGGTGGTAGATAGACATCGTTAGTGCGCATTAGAGCATGAACGTCGAGAGGTATGAGTGCATAAAGTAGAGGTACATGCCACCAAAGACGACGCGCTGCGCAAAATTCGGGAGCACGACCACGATCGGGACGATGAAGCCCCAGAGCCACATGAACAGGATGGGCCACGTGAGCCAGCCCCAGACCGGCCAGAGCCCAAACGAAAAGCTACATACATGCATGAGCGTACAGCGTGAATGCATGCCAGAGGGTACCTGACGCCGGCAAGGATCATGGACGCGAGCATGCCATGCGTCGTGGTCTTGGCCGACTCGTACGTGAGCGTCTCGCCGAGGTAGCTCGACCGGTAGTACTCCATGTACGAGCCAAGGAGCACGACAAGTGTGCAAAAGAAGATGCCGAGGTTGACCATTGGGCGGTCCGCGTGCGACGCGTAGAGCAGCACGTGCAAGAAGCGGACTTCGTCCAAGCCGTAGCAGGCCGCGACGAAGAAGAGCGCGCTGATGAGCTTGGTCACGACGTTGCCTGTCGCCGAGCCTTCGCGGTGCGCGGGCGACGGCTCGGTCTCGGGCGCCAGCGGCGCGACCTCGGCCACCTCGTCGTCGTCGCTTGTCGTCGTTCGCTTCGGGCGCTGCATGGATTGTTGGGCTGACCAAGGCCGGTTGGGCGGACGCAGGTGCGCGCTGTCCGGATACGGTATACCCGTATCCGCCTGTCGACCGGAGTAACGTTTTACTACCCGACATGATTTAGTTGGTTTCTATTTATTAATGCAATGGTACTATGGGTATCTTGGATTTATATACGCTCTTGTGTCGGCTATACGGAACAGTCGGGTAGGAAAAGACTTGCATCGGTCTATTTCGGCTGCGACACCCCGCGTTACCGACGGCGTCAGAGTGGTCTCGTCGACGTCAAAGCTGGACACACTGCAATCCACCGTTCGGCGTCCCTCCTCACATCATGGAGAGCGACGACATAAGACCATGACGGCCTGCAATCTTGCGTACCCGGCTATCACCTTGGAACCATTTACGCACTATTGTCCATGTCGGGTTCTGGCGCCTTTTAGCAATATGCAATTACTAGTAGGGTCAATTTGCTTCAAGCCTCAACTTCAGTGGAAGTCCTGTCTTTTAGGAAAAGGCACGTGTCACCGTGTGATTGGATACGTAAGCATTTCCCACTCGGATGGATCGCGAGGATGAGGCATCTCCATGATCCTCTCTCGGTGAACGATGCCTTCCTGTCATCCATGCCGGGGTCATTGCCTTGACGTCAACGTCGTCCTCTGTCAGCACCTTCGCCTTGGTCCTCGCTGCCGTCCGCAATTGCTGGCGTCGGCAAGGAAAACCCATGTGTCGGCTTGCGTGCGATTGGCGTTTGATGCACGTGGCGTCATGGGTTTCTGTCCATAGAACTTGCGAGTCACGTGGCATTCAATTCAAAGAATCAATTCCACATACAAACATCGCATCATAGAATCCGAAATCCGTTTCCAAATCAACGGAATGGCCAGCCCACGCATGAAATCTAATGTTTCCATACAAATATCAAGTGCATATAAGATCTGAGATTAATAATGCCACGATTCCTGGACGCTGGAAGATCTTCCCACTTCCCAATTTGCCCTTTGCTGCCACTCATTTCGCCCAAGATGGCCGCGCCCCAGAAGCTCCAACACTCGATCGTCGGCCTTGGCAACCCGCTCCTCGACATCTCGGCCAAGGTGCATGACGCCTTCCTCACCAAGTATGGCATCACGGTCGACAATGCGATCCTCGCCGAGGAGAAGCACCTGCCCATGTACGACGAGCTCACCAAGGAGTTCCAGGCCGAGTTCATCGCGGGCGGCGCGACGCAGAACTCGATCCGCGTCGCGCAGTGGATGCTCAAGAACCAGTGCGCGAACGCGACCTCGTTCTTTGGCTGCGTCGGCAACGACGAGTTTGGCAAGGTGCTCAAGGACTGCGCGGTCAAGGACGGTGTCAACGCCCACTACATGGTGCACGACAAGGTCTCGACCGGCACGTGCGCCGTGTGCGTCAACGAGGCTGGCGAGCGCTCGCTCGTCGCCAACTTGAGCGCGGCCAACGAGTTTGAGCTCGCGCACTTGGACGACGAGGCGAGCAAGACCATTGTCGAGAACGGCAAGCTCTACTACTCGGCCGGCTTCCATTTGACCGTGTGCCCGCAGGCCATCATGAAGCTCGCCGAGCACGCCGCGTACTCGAACAAGATCTTTATGCTCAACCTCTCGGCGCCGTTCATCGTGCAGTTCTTCAAGGACGCGCTTATGCCTGCGGTCCACCACGCCGACTTTGTGTTTGGTAACGAGAACGAGGCGCTCGAGTTTGGCAAGTCCCATGGCTGGGGCGAGGACCTCGCGGTCATTGCGCTCCGCCTCTCGCAGCTGCCCAAGGCTTCGGGCTCGCGCTGCCGCACGGTCGTCTTCACGCAAGGCGCCAAGCCCACGATCACGGTGCACAACGGCACCCTTCGCCTCTTCGATGTCCCGACGCTTGACCAGAAGGAGATCGTCGACACGAACGGTGCTGGTGATGCTTTCGTCGGCGGCTTCATCGCGCAGTTGGCGCTGGAGCAGCCCATCGAAAAGTGCGTCGACGCGGGTCACTGGGCCGCGCAGGTCGTCATTCGCCGCTCGGGCTGCACCTTCCCCGACTCGTGCGACTACAAGTAAAGTAGAAGGCATACTATAAGATAACATACTAGGATCGATTTGGGAACCACTATTCGAACGTACGTTGTGCCACGGGGTACGTGGCGCACTGCCGACGCAGGGTGGAATCGAGTTCCTTGCACAACGTGTGCGAGCGTCGACAGAAAGGTGGGTGCAGCATGTCGCTACAACCTTGCGGCCGACGTGCAGCATGGGCGACAAGGACGTGGATGCGATGCCCTCCTCGTCTCTAATCCCTTCCCGGCTCCTTTTGCTCGATGTCAATGAATGGTTGACACGTGAAATCACAACTGGGTCCCATGACTGGGTCCCATGGTTTGACCATTGCGTGGCCTCGGAGTCGGACACTGCGCTTGCTTGATACTACAAAATGCGCACCCAGCTCAACGTCGGCCGCTCGAAGCTAGCGAGTACCGAAGCTAGCGACATGCGATGATCGGTTCTAACGCAATATATCGTTCTTATCTTTACCAGCGCCGTAGTTGCCGGTCCGCAGTTCTGCATGGCGGTAGCGTCGTACGCCGTGGTTCCCTCTCCTTTGTCGTGTGTCTATCTTTACTGTGCCCCGCTCGATCTTGCTCGCCAACGAGCGCCACATGCATAGACCAGTCTGTTGTCGGTCGCCGCACGCATACGTGGACAACAGCAGACCAAAGGTCTAAAAAACGTTGCATCGACCCTGAAGCAGACGCATGCCAAGCTTGCGTGCCAGTGATTCCCACTCGAGTGTATCGACATGACGTGGCACGCTCGGGTGCACGAGCATGGTCGTCATCTTGGATCGCGTCCGTTGGCTCAAAATAGATTCTCGGTGGTGGCAGCGATCACATCGATGGGGTCGCACTCGGGCTACAAGGGCTTCAAGTCGTGGTCGGGCCAAGAATGCCCGACGCTCAAGCCCGGCGAGAGCTACGACAGCCGGTCGACCAAGTTTAGTGCGATGGGCCAAAGTATCATGAACACCATGTGCGTGCAAAACCCGGCGTTTGGCAGCGTCTACCGCGCCGACTTTGGTCTTGTGACGCCGGCCGACTACAACACGCGCCTTGCCAAGCCGTGCTACGACGACGTGGTCGCGGGCAAGAAGTTTCTCGGCCAAAGTTTGTATGAAAGCGATTTTGTGCATTTTTCCAACCACGGAAAAGCCTTGTTGGCAAAACCCAAGGACGACTTCAAGCGCGTCTTCGAGGCGCTGGCCCACGCCGTCGACCAAGACGACACAACAAACAACGCGGCGGTTGACGAGCTGCGGCTGCCGCGCGACCGCATGAAGGAACTCCTGACGACAGTGTACGGCAGCCCGCCGTCGACGCGCCTTCTCGAGATGTACAGCCACATGTTTGACCCGATTCCCGACGGCTACGTGACGTGGCCCGTCTTTGAAGAAGCCATGGACCGCATCCACCTCTTCGTCGCCAACAGCGTCGGCAAGCTCCACGGCAAACCGAGTTGGATCGAGTATTTGAGTATGCGCCGACTCGTAACAAGCCATGTGCCGAGCAGCAGCCACCAGATCGATTATGGTACCTACGGCTCGGACCCGCTCGCGCGACCGTACTTGAGTCGCACGCTCGGGATGGCGTCGACGACGTCCGACCTCGCGGATGGGACGACCAAGAACACGTGTCACATTCCGCGCTACGGCGGCTTCTTACCCGAAGCGCCCCACAACCCGATTGCGGTCGCGCAAGGCGATGGCACGGCGCCGCGCAACAAGGGCGCGGACCTGCGATTGTACCACCTCAACAACATCCCTGGCTACACGGGCCACAAGCCCGTCGACGCCAAGAACGTGCGGGGCGAGGCCACCACGGGGACCGATCCGCGGTCGACCAACGGATACATTTATCGTCCGCATCTCTAAGCTCGCACAAGAAGACGATTTTACATGCTCTTGCCTCGTGGTTGTTGGAAAAACTTAGGGTTGGGTACGACGACTAGGGCGACGAAAAGAGACGCGCGTGCGGCCGGACAGCGTAGACAAAGTCGAGGATGGTCGCGTCGCGCGCAGTCACGCGACGCACCATGCTCTCCAAGAGCCACTCGGTGACCAAAATGCCGATTTGCGTATGCTCTAGCCTCCATGTTGTCAAATGTGCAATGTGACACGACACGACGCGAACCTGCGTCACGCAGCAGCGTGGCCGAGGACGATGCTGCGGGGGCTTTGGCGCGCGCTGTGTGCCCTTTCTAATCAGAGAGATGCGTGCAGCAAGGGCCCGAGAGCGTACTAAGGTACATGGTTGCATCGAAAGACGCAGGTGCCGTCGTCACGAGCGAGGATGGCGCGGACCACATCGACGCGGTTGTACTGCGCCGCGACGTGCAGCGCCGTGTCACCTTGCTGTGAAAAATACGATTCGAAATCGGAGATCGATCAGGATTACGTACGGCATTCGTGTCGGCCATAGCCGCGGGCGACGCGCGCAAGAGAGGCAGGACGTCGTCGAGCCTGCCCAGCTTTGTCAGCACATGCAACACGGTGTCCCCTTGCTACATGTGCCACGCTCAAGTTTGAAAGCGTCGCAAAGAGCGAAGTACCTCGGATTGTTGCCCCAGTGTGGCCAACTTGGCCGTCTCTGTGCATTGGCGTGTTGGATGGCACGGATTTTTTGAGAATGCAGTACCGATGCGAGTGAGCTGGTTGCGAAGGCGTCGATATGGTGCCGCCAAGTCGAACGCACAAGCGCCGTCCTACGAGAGAATCATGTATCGTACATGCGAGGCACTGCAGACATTGGTGACGGCAAACACGTCCGCGCCGGCGTCGACAAGGTACTGGAGAATGTCGTAATGACCGGCTTGTGCCGCGAGATGCAAGGCTGTACAACCACTCTACGACGCACGAATCAGAAGTGTCCGCCCAAAGCGATCGAACCTCGTTGCGCGCTTCCATGTGGGGAGTCCCCTCGGCTAGAATTCGCAATAGTGCGTCCACCTTGTTGGATGCCGCCGCGTAGTGCAGCCGTGTGTTGCCAGCCTACGCAATCGTTGTTGCCAATTAGCGTCGAGCCGCGTTTTGTTCTCTGGAACTCTACCGCATCGGGAGCGATGGCCAACACTGCGGCGAGTTCTATGCATCGCAATACGCTCATGAAAGACGCTCGTTTGAGGCAAGCGCAACGTGGCGTACCGAGGTCTCTCAGGCGTGCTGTGACGGTTGTATGCATGCGCCAGCCCGCCAAGTCGGCTGCACACTGCCCTTTCTAAAAGTTCATCGCAAAATGATCTCGCAACGTCAAAGTCGAGTCGGCTGCAGCAATATTGCGAAACTACGACGTACGTGGTTCTTGTACAAAACGTTGGCGCGATGGGCGAGAAGCAGCTCGACGCACGCCACGTGCCCGCCGACGGCAGCTTTGTGGAGCGGTGTGTTGCCGCCGTCATTGGTCGCGTTGACGCTGGCGCCGCGCTCGACGAGCAGTGCCGCCATCTCGGACCGACCCGCCACGCACGCATGATGCAGCGGCGTGTTACCATCCTATGCATGCCTCATGCATCCAAGCAATCTCATTGTGATCTTGGGCTCACGGCATCGGGGCTGTCGAGGTAGCGGATGTACGTGAGTGCAGCTTTCGCGTCGTTGCGAAGTACTGCCGTATGGAGAGGAGTGCACGACGGCGTCAGCGGGATATCATAAGACGCAGGAAGCGGTGGTTTTGGCTTGAGTAGCTTCTGCAGTCGAGTCGGCCGAGCCGGCGATTTTGTCGGCGACGAGACCATACCGCCGAGTGCGAAACCGCTGCACGGGTAAAACAGTGTTTTCACCACTGGATGGCATTTCCTGTTGCAAAGGCGTCGGTGCGTCAACGTGTTGCCACGTGGGTATTGCCTCACTTCCACCACACGCTATTGAGACTGCCTTCTGCCAGCTTCGAGGTCAATGGCGCTGGTCTCTAGTGGCTTGGATACCAAGTGTTTCCGAGACGACCCTCGTCCAGCGTTGGCGAGGGAGACACGGGATGTGTAGTTATCGCCTTTCCACATTGCTACCGGACTCGCCGTGCAAGCATCGCAGAATCGTCGCGTATCAACTCGAGGTATACTTGTAGAAGGTCCGAGGCCGCGATCAAGAAAAAGGCCAGAGCGTGCTCGATTTTTGTTCCGTTTTTTTATAATCATCATTTCGAAGCCGGTCAGTTGCCAATTGGTTAAGCATGAGCGACGTGATCATTGAAGAGGTCATGGACGAAAGCTACGAGCCGTCGGACGCCGAGGTGCTCGAACATGCGGCGTTCCTTGGCATGGACGTTGCCACCGAGACGCACCTGCTTTGGATCGCGCGCGAATCTCTCAAGGTATCGGACGTGTCGTCGCGCTAGGTCATGCAGCAAACGTGCTGTAGGCGCCATTACCAAAGCACTGGAAGGCGTGCAAGTCGATCGACACGGGTGACATCTACTACTTCAACTTTGCCACCGGCGCCAGCATTTGGGACCACCCCTGCGACGAGGTAATACGCTCTGAACAAGTCGTGGCAAAACCGATGCATTGTATTACCTGCTAGCAATACCGCCAACTCTACCAAGAGCACAAGACCAAGCTGATGGTGCAACCTTCCGAGGTGCACCCGCCAGAGGAAACACGCCCACCTGAGGAAGCGCGCCCGCCAGAGGAGACGACGCCGCCCACAGCTCGGGTGGACAGCGAGATGCTCGTCGATGACCTTCAACGCGCGCTCGCCGCCGCCACCGCGTCGCTTCAGGACGCACAAGCGATGCTTGCCGAGCTCGTTGGGGCCGAAGCGCGCAAATGGGAGGCAGAGCTCGCTGCGCGGGACGCCACGTGGCAGCTTCAGGTCGACGACCTTTCGCAGCGGCTGGCGGCCGCGCAGGTGAACTCGAGGGATTCGTCCGAGGACAAGGACTGGGAGATTGTCGAGTAACGATGGCTGCTGCATGTAACACGTTGTTTTGTATGATGTATCGTTTTGCTGCGCGGACCGACGGTCGCTACAGCATGCATGACAGAGCGAGCCGACTAGCCTATTGTTGACTCCTTGCGTCTGCCTGGGCGGATACAACTCAGCTTTCTTGCTCCGCCTGGAAGTACCACCACGGACGACGCCGTCACCACGGATTCCTGCGTAGTTGATAATAACGTACTAGTAAGCTAAATCTCTCAACTATCGCAGTCAAAGTATCTATCTGCGAGTGTGTATACGTTGACAGTACTAAGAAAAGATCACTGTGGCGCTGTAACGGCCGCACAACTGGCAGTCGGCAGCAATGGACGCGGGCCAAGGTGACAGCATCGTTCTCGAGGAAGAGATCGACCCCAACTACGAGCCGACGGAAGATGAGGTCCTCGAGTACGCCAAGTGGCTCGGCATGGACCTCGAAGCCGAGCGGGACCTCTTTTGGATTGCCCGTGAAGGGCTCAAGGTACCGACTTCTTTTCATGCTAGAGATGTTTACTGGATCGATTGCTGTGGCATAGGCGCCTCTGCCCGAGAACTGGAAGCCGTGCAAGACGACCGACACGGGCGAAATCTACTACTTCAACTTCGCTTCGGGCGCCAGCACGTGGGACCATCCGTGTGACGAGGTACATTGCGAGCAGGCTACCGTTCTGCTCTATTGTATAATATGTAGTACTATCGCAAGCTCTACGACGACCACAAGAAGAAATCCATTCACGGCAAAAAGGTACGAATGCGAATGGGCTTTTCGTGTCCAAACACATTCAAGACGAGGAAATAGGACTCGGATTCGAAGAAAAAGAAGGAAAAAGACGATGTCGATGAGATTTTGGGCAAAAAGTCCAAGAAAAAGAAAGCACCACCCAAGACCGACGGGCTCTCAGCTGTCAAGACGAGCATCGATAAGAAGCCTCTCGGCGGTCTTCCCAGCAAGGTATCTCTGTTATCTCTCTTTCGAGACATGGACCACGGAATATTTTGTGGTGTAGTTGGGACCAACGTCCGGCGGGTTAGGGCCGCTGGGGGGGCTCAAGCCCGTGGGGGGTCTCGGCGTACGTCGCTCACTTGCTGATAGCCCATCCTTACATGTGCCTTAGCGACCGGGACCGAAGGCTTTATCGCGCGCCGAGAGCGACGATGAAAAGGAAAATGACGACGACGACGAAGAGGAAGCCAAAGTCGAAATCAAAGCGATTGGGAAAAAGCCCCTCCTTGGGGTGCCCAAAGCAGCAGCAGCAAAAGACGAGCTCGATAAGAAGGCTGCGTCGCTCGAGAAGGAGCTTGCGGACCTCGAGTCGGCCCACGCCGAGAAGGTCGCGGCGCTTGAAGCCAAAGTCGCGGCCCAAGAAGACACGCTGCGGGACACGATGGCGGCAAATGAGAAGAAATTGTCCAAAATCCAAGCCTCGCACGACGACGAGGTCGCGAGCATGAAGGAGCTCGAGAAGAAGCTCTCCAAGCGTAGGAAGGACATGGAGACCGAGAACCGCAAGCAGCTCGACGACCTGGAGGAGGCTTTTGTCGACAAGAAGCGCGAGCTGCGCCAGCGCCAAGACAAGGAAACCAAGGAGATGGAAGAAAAGCAGCGCCAGCGCATCGACGAGCTCGTGGCCAAACACGAACATGCGCTGGAAGAGATGCGGCGCAAGCAAGAGATGGAGACCGAACACCGCGAGAAGGTCGAAGCCGAGGCCTCGAGCCGCCTCCAAGATGAGTTGGACGGGCTTAAAGCCGAGGTAGCCAAGCTCAAGAGCAAGCTGCAGCAGGCCGACGACGAAGTGACCGACAGCAACAGAAAGCTCACGGCGGCCCGGGCCACGATCGAGACGCTGGAAGCGCAAGTGCGGGACCTCGAGGCGTCGCGCACGCCACCCGATGATACGGCAGCGCAGGAGTCGGCGGTCGCGGCCGAAGCACAAAAGTGGGCAGCGACACTCGAGGCAGAGACAAAGGCGCTAGAAGCGAAATGGCGCGCCAACGTGGTTGAGGTCACTGCAAAGCTCGATGCTGTGACAGCCGAGCGGGATGCAGCGGCGGCGGCAGCGTCCGAGGCAAACGCAGCTTTGCAGCGCAAGCTCCAAGAAGCAACAGCAGCAACGTCCGAGTCGGTGCGCGAGACAGAGCCAGACTCGGGCGCACTCGACGCGCTCCAAGCCAAGTATGATGCACTTCAATCCAAACTTGACGCGCTTCAATCGAATTATGACGCGCTCGACGCTGCACACGCGGCGCTGCAAACCCAATATGACGCGCTCGATTCTACCCACGAAGCGCGTCAAAGCGAGCTGCGTGGCCAAGTGGATAGCGCTACTGCCAACGCCGCCGAGTGGCAAACGCAGTGCGAGACGGCAATGCGCGATCAAGCCGACTGGCGGGCTAAATATGAAGCGGCGTGCAGTGCTGCAGCGGTGGCCGCCGCGGGCGACGATGACGCGACTGCGTGGACTGCCAAGATAGACGCGCTTCAATCGGCAGCCAAGGTGAGAGAGGCGAGCTTACAAGCCGAGATGGCCGACCTGCGAGAGGCCAGCGCAGCCAACGACGACGTCGTGAATGCCTTAACGGCCGCCAAAGACGTGTTGCAAACTAAGCTCGAGGCGCTCGAGGCGTCCCATGCTGCCACAACACAAGCGCTGGACGAGCTCCAAGGTGCGCGTCAAGCCAGCGACACCCAGACGGCGTCCGTGCAATCCGATGAAATCGATCGATTGAAACGCCAGTGCACGTCGCTCGAGACCCAGTTGGCCGAGACGGCGGCCGAGCACGACGCCGTGCTCGCAACTCTCCAGAAGAGCCAACGCCAGCTGCAGGACGACCTTGCACGCAAGGAGAGCGACCACCGCGCCGAGACAAGTGCCCTCAACGACCGCTTCCACGAGGAAAAGCACCTCGAAGCGCAGTTGGCTCAAGTGCAGTCGCAGTGGACGTCGCTTCAGAGCCAAGAGTCGTCGACGTCAAGTGTTCTCTCGGCGCTGCAAGACCAACTTCGTCAGGCGCTCGACGAAAAGACGGCACTGCATGCATCGATGGACGAGCAGCTCGATGCGACGCGCAAGACGGCGGCGGTGTACGAGACCACGATTGCAAGCTTGAAGCGCGACGCAAATGAGGCTCAGACAACCCATGCGGCCGCGCTCCAGGCCGCGCTCTCCGAGACCCACAAAGTTGAAGCTGCCAAGCGGTCATTGGATGATCAAAAGACTGCACTCGAGCGCAAGCTCAAGCAAAAAGACGCCGAGATCGCCGCGCTCACCACGCAGTTGCAAGCAGAGCCTTCGAGCAGTCCGTCCGCGACGGTGCCGGCGTGGGAGCTCGAGAAGTGGACGACGCAGGCCAAGGCGCTCGAAGTCGAGAAGGCCGAATTGCAAGCGCGCTACGAGGCAAGTATGCACGAGCTGGATGCGCTCGGCGACCAGCGCCACCGCCTCCAGCTGGAAAAGACCAAGCGGAGAAGAAGGCTCGGCAGCTCGAGGCCGATCGAGACGCAGCGCAGCTCAAACTCAAAAGCGTCCAAGCCGAGTGCGATACTCTCACGTCCAAACTGCGCACTATCTCGGCCGAAGCTGCGGACGCCAGGGGCGCCGCCAACAAACTCAAAATGACAGCCCAGTCGCTCGAGGCACAGCTGCAAAAGCAAGCCGACGAGGCATCGTCGTGGGAAGCCAAGGCGGGCAAGCACCGCGAGACGGCGGAAGCGCTCGAGCTCCAACTGCGTTCGCTCAAGCTCCAGATGGACGAAAGCACCTTCCAACTGTCCATGGAGCAGCAAGAGAAAGTATCGCTTCAGCACGAAGTCGATGCGCTCAAGGCCAAAGCCATTGCTGCCGTCTCGACCGACAAGAGCTCATCCGAGAAGGCAAGTAGCTCGGCGTGGAAGGAACAGGTTGACGCAGTACTGCTCGAGAAGCAGCAAGCAGTCGAGAAGCTCCGCTTGACGACCCAAAAGCTTCAAGACGTCGAGGGCAAGAGCAAAACTTCCATCGAGTCGCTGGAGCGATCCATGATGTCCATAACCACTGAGAAGCAGGCTATCCAGGACCGCTGCGAGAAGCTCGCCAAGCAACTGCAGCAAGCGGAGGGCGCGTTGCGCCGTTTAGAGCAAGAACGAGATGAGATCGACGACAGCTACAAGCGAACGAGCCAGGACAAGGTCGACGTTGAGAGCAAGGTGCGGTCGCTTGTCGAGTCCCAGCGATCGCTCGAAACGCAGCTGCGGGATGCAACCCACCATGTAGAGATGCGATATCAATGCGGTGTATTTACGCGAATTAGGTCGAGTCGCTTGAAGACGAGAAGCGCCAGATGCAGTACAGCATAAGTGCAGTAGAGAGCCGGCTCAAGCGCTACGAAGCCGACGTCGACCGGCTCAAAACCGAGCTGACGGCGGTAACAGTAGCCAAAGAGACGGCCGAGACCAAGTTGCGCTCTGAGACGGCATCGCTCGAGGCAAAGCTAAAGGCGATTCGACAAGAGCAAGCCGACTCGCTTCAACGGCGCTCGACCGACGACGAATCGCAGCGAGATCAGTTGACGTCGCAGCACAAGCGCGAGCTCGGCGAGCTCAAAAAAGAGCTTTTGGCCAAGCTCGCGACCGCCGAGACGGAGACGGAGACACTGCGTCAGAGTGTACATGACCGCGCCAAGGAGCTGCAGCTCAAATCCAAGGAGATTGAAACCATTTCGCTCCAACGACAGAAGCTCGAGGTTTTGTCGGCGTCACTCCAAGAGCAGGCACGCCAAGAGAAAGCCCAGGCTGCCACCGATTTAGAGGCACTCAAGGCGCGGTTGAAAGCGGTGCAAGCCGAGAAAGACGAGCTGTTTCTTCTCGCGTCGGCGTCGTCTCATCCGGCGGCGCCGACATTATCGTCGTCGACGACAGCGAGCAATCAAGAGCTGCACTCGGTTAAGTTGCAAATGGCCCACGTCAACCAAAACGAGCTCGAGACGCATCTCAAAGAGGTCACGTCGCAGCTCGATACGTGGCGGCGCAAAGCCAGCATGCTGGATCTGCGCTGCCGCGACTTGGCGCTGGAAATCGAAGGCCACCATGTTGAGAACGCGACCCTGCGGTCAGCGGCGCAGCGACTGCACACGAACGCGCTCGAGTCGCTCTCGAGCCTCGAGCGTCTCAACTACGAGCACAAGAAGCGGCTGCTGCGCTCCGAGTACATGGGCCAGCTTCGCGACTTTTCCGATCGAGAGGAGCTCGCTTTGGCGCGGCAAAAAGCGCGCGTCCGCGCGAGCTGCGAGCGTCAGCTGGAGGAGGTCGTGTTGGCGTTTCAGCAGCAAACCACGCAGCGCCTCGAGCATGAAGAGACCGAGTTCCAAGCCGCGCTGCGCCACTGTCAGCACGACCACGAGCTCCAGCTCCAGCGAGCCCTCAAAGGCTTTCACGTAAAAGCACGGCGGACCGTGGCCTCAACCGCAACATGATATATGTAGGACAAACTTGCATCATACCAGCGCGAGCTCCAAGACAAACAAACGGTGCAGATGCATGCAATGGCCAAGCAGCTGCACGAGGTGCGTCCGAAACGTCGCGCGCTGCACTGCACCATTGTCGATGGTAGGAGGAAGCCCACTTGGCAGCACGTCTTCGGGACACCCACCAGCTCAACCGCGAAGAAGCACTCTCCAAAGTCCAGAATCTACAGCCTGGCGAGCTTCCCGAGCTCGTGCTCGACAAGCCGCAGCCATTGCAACAACCAATGTCATCGTCGCCGTATCGATCCCCCAATCCAGCATGGGAGGTAAACACACGACCAGCAACCAAACAAAAGGCCCGTCGACGCAGCGCGGCCAACGGCAGTCGCCACCGACGCGCCCAGTGGCAGCGCAAGATCGAGAAGGAAGTCGCCCTCCTGGAGAAGGCCAAGCATTTTGTTGCGAAACAAAAGAAAGCGCTCAAAGCTCGCATGGCCAAACTCCAGCACGAGAAGGACTGGTGGCGCCGCGAGACGTCCGTGTCGCCGAAAGACCCGAGTTGGGTCTCGGAGATGCGACAGCTCCTCGAGCTCGTAGAGACGCGATGCCTTTGTATCAAGGGCTGACGACGACGCTGTGTAGCACGCCGAGCAACTGGCCAATGACGCGCGGGACCTCAAGGCGACAGAAAAGTGGGTGGCGAAGCGCGCGAGCAAGATCCACGCGTTGGAGCGTGCGTGCGATAACGTGGACGACGACCACGAATATGACGACGACGAGTCGACAAACGAGTCGGTCGACGCGACGCTTGAGCGACTCCATGACGAGCTGCTGCAAGACGGCGCCGCCATGTCGCTCAAGCTGCGCCCTCGAGACCGTGAGAACATTGCGTGGCCGTCGGATACGTCCCCCGTGCCCCGCCCGCAGTACGACTATCGAAGCTATGAGCAGCCCATGTACGCGAGAACGTACTCGGCGCCAATGCAGCAGCTACATCCGTCCGAGATGGGAGCCCAAAACCGCTACTACTACCATCGCCAGCCCGATGAGCGGTACAAGTTGACTGTACCTCCGTCATCATGCTGCATGATTCGGGTCCTAGGCACTACGCCACGCTTGCGACACCCTCGTACAAGTCGCATATTGGTGGCAGCAAGATCACGGACTGGGCGGTCAACCGTGAAAAAGCCAGCGCCGCGGCAAGTGCCCATGGATCGTATCTGGGCCAGCTCGCCAAAGAGCTGCAGGCGTACACGCGGCAGGCAGAGCCAGCGTCGCGGCTCTCGGATGGAGAAGTCGACTTGGCTTAGGTATTGACTTGATTTGATAGACACAAATGTGTAAAGTGCTCAACATTCTGGGGACGATGGACTGATCAACGAAATGAGTTCCTTTACGATTCGTAAAATTAGCAATGCGTGAACTGCACAGCCACTACGTTGCAGTGGGCTTCGAACTCGTGCGGTGGCTCTTGGAAACATGCTGCGTGGGCACTTAGGCTCGGATCGAGCCCGCAATGGCGCCGTGGTACACGGACCGGTTGCCCTTCTTGCTCTTGAGCCAGCACGTCCCGCCGTTGTGACGGTTCCAGACCCACACGGAGCACCCGGCCGTCGCATGGCAGTCACCGCAGCAGTCGTCCGACGACGCGCGCGGAATCGCTGCCACGTCGTTGCCGTAGTAGTCGATGTTGGCTTCGATCGCACAGGTCGTCGGGGCCGCATCGACGACACCGGCCATCGCCCCGTGGTACGTCGACCGCGTCCCCTTCTTGGACTTCAACCAGCACGTGCCGCCGTTGTGGAGGTTCCAGACGTACACCTTGCAGCCAGGGGTCTTCCGGCAGT